TGGGGGATAAAAAAACGATGCGAAATGAGCAAAATGTTTTGAGGCGTTTGTGGGGTGATTCAAATCAAACGAGCGATCAGAAATTTTCAGTTTAGCACCAGTTTTGAATTAAATACCAAATTGAAAAGAATTAACAGTAAAGATAAGAGTAATTAAAGATAGTAGCATCTAAAACACCTTTGCTTCGAATCATTCTTTTTAATTTCTTCTCGCAAATTATTACTCTTACTGATTCCAATATGCCTTAGAAAAAGTTATATGGCTTTCAGAAGGTTTTTTTTGGAGTGACTATAAAAGGTTGTTTTTTTATGATTTCGCTCAGGCCAATTGGTGCAAAATTCAAAAAAATGGATCAGCACCAGTGTATCAAGACGATAAAAAAACGTATGCTTCTTAGTTATTTGTTGATATGGCACTGATACCTGAGCTGGACTTTGAAATCAACATGACTGCTTCGTGCTCTGAAAATTCTGATCAAAGTGACGAGTCCCCCTTATTTGATTACGTCGATTGTTTTGAATCAACTTGGGTTGTAACTATCCTCCGAGGACGCAGTGGGGTTGGGCAACTCCATATTTCACTCTGGAACTAGTTCAAAAACGCAAAAAAAAGAAGACAGAAAACCAACAATTCGGTGGAGGGATGGCATAGGGCCTTCCAGATGGATAAGGTGTGTGCTCACCCCACCATTCACAAACTTATCCAACTGCTGAGAAAAAAAAAGTTTTAGGAGAACATATTAGAAAGAATAATTGCCGGATAGAGTGCCGCGGAGGGGGCAAAATAAAAAAAAGTCAAACCGGATTAGTTGAACTCCCTAAGCATTATAGTAACAATAATATTCTCAAGCAACTTGAGACCCTTTCATTATTTAGTTTCTTTGATTTTTAATTTAACCCTTTCATCTAACTTTTGTTGATCTGATCAAAGCTTTTACCGCTACTAATGTCGCTTGCTACGAGTCGTTGCGTGCTGCGAATAGTCGTTTTTACAAATGCTACGAATAGTCGCTTGCGATGAATTGTCGATTGCGACGAATTGTCGGCATGTCCCCGTTAACCAATTTGTAGGTAACATTTAAACTTTTCGATGAGAGAATGAGCGGATTCTATTCAACTCGCTAGATTGATACTTTCAAAATATTGCATTATCATTTGGTATCTCAATATATAACTATTCAGCGAAAATTAAAAAAAAATAACAAAATGCCTGCACAATTTTTAATAATATCAGATTTTCAATAGTAGACACAAGTTAGTTAGATAATTAATTGTTTTCATATATCAAATTTTCGACAACTTTTTTGTTGATCTTTGCGAAATCAGGTAGTGGATACCTGTTTTTATTTTGAAATTACAAAAAAGCAGAAAAATAATTCGAAACTTTTCTTACTAACTTGACTTTTGATTGTCGAAATGTCTTGTCTTCTCAGTCAAATTCTTTTTGGAAGCTTCAAATGCTCTCTAGCACTGCCTGACCTGATTCAATCAAGGTACCAAATGAAAAACTGCCTCTATTGAACCAAAGGACTTCGCTTAACACTCAGTATTTTCTTGGTTACGTTCTTGATTGTTCCAGCTCAGATACGGAGGAAAAAATGTTCTAAATTATCCTTAGACAGGCCAGCAGCATTTAAATAGGTTAGGTGCAGCTCACGAAGGCAAAAAAAGATTGTTTGTATTAGAGTGAAGCTCTGAATATCCCGACTGCCCTTAAGTGTCTATGAAATAGTGTTCAACCTAACAGAAATCTAAGAGTTTTTAAACTGAAAAATGTTTAAAAATTAAACCCCTAAACGCTCATCAAAACTCAAAATGATATAATAAGCATATATTTTACTACTAATAAATAGAATAAAAAGCATGCATCTTTTCTTAGCCGGATTCATTCACCGCTTATGCGTTTATAGCTATTAAATAGCACAATAAATGTCTCAAAACTGTAAACCCCCATAACAGTATAAAAATACTCGTAAATAAAACAAAGTTGAGCTCAGGGCAACAATAATTTCCAGGTGGTATGCACACATTCCTTAAAAAAAAGCCAGTTGAAATATTGAAAATGGTCTGGAGAAAAACCACCCGAGCACAAAATTACTCCGTCAGTTTGTCAAAAGTCAGAACAATTATCTTGTTTATATATTCAAACTCAGCGAACTGCTATATTTTGAAGCTGAAAATACAAGAGATTTACAGATTATGATTACAAACATCAGACCCAGCAGAAGTTGCACCAACCCGCACTCAGTAAAAAGAGAAAATAATCGATTATATTATAATTATAATCGTACTTTTAGAACAATTGAAAATAATAACTATTCAGCGAAAATTAAAAAAAAATAACAAAATGCCTGCACAATTTTTAATAATATCAGATTTTCAATAGTAGACACAAGTTAGTTAGATAATTAATTGTTTTCATATATCAAATTTTCGACAACTTTTTTGTTGATCTTTGCGAAATCAGGTAGTGGATACCTGTTTTTATTTTGAAATTACAAAAAAGCAGAAAAATAATTCGAAACTTTTCTTACTAACTTGACTTTTGATTGTCGAAATGTCTTGTCTTCTCAGTCAAATTCTTTTTGGAAGCTTCAAATGCTCTCTAGCACTGCCTGGCCTGATTCAATCAAGGTACCAAATGAAAAACTGCCTCTATTGAACCAAAGGACTTCGCTTAACACTCAGTATTTTCTTGGTTACGTTCTTGATTGTTCCAGCTCAGATACGGAGGAAAAAATGTTCTAAATTATCCTTAGACAGGCCAGCAGCATTTAAATAGGTTAGTTGCAGCTCACGAAGGCAAAAAAAGATTGTTTGTATTAGAGTGAAGCTCTGAATATCCCGACTGCCCTTAAGTGTCTATGAAATAGTGTTCAACCTAACAGAAATCTAAGAGTTTTTAAACTGAAAAATGTTTAAATATTAAACCCCTAAACGCTCATCAAAACTCAAAATGATATAATAAGCATATATTTTACTACTAATAAATAGAATAAAAAGCATGCATCTTTTCTTAGCCGGATTCATTCACCGCTTATGCGTTTATAGCTATTAAATAGCACAATAAATGTCTCAAAACTGTAAACCCCCATAACAGTATAAAAATACTCATAAATAAAACAAAGTTGAGCTCAGGGCAACAATAATTTCCAGGTGGTATGCACACATTCCTCAAAAAAAAGCCAGTTGAAATATTGAAAATGGTCTGGAGAAAAACCACCCGAGCACAAAATTACTCCGTCAGTTTGTCAAAAGTCAGAACAATTATCTTGTTTATATATTCAAACTCAGCGAACTGCTATATTTTGAAGCTGAAAATACAAGAGATTTACAGATTATGATTACAAACATCAGACCCAGCAGAAGTTGCACCAACCCGCACTCAGTAAAAAGAGAAAATAATCGATTATATTATAATTATAATCGTACTTTTAGAACAATTGAAAATAATAACTATTCAGCGAAAATTAAAAAAAAATAACAAAATGCCTGCACAATTTTTAATAATATCAGATTTTCAATAGTAGACACAAGTTAGTTAGATAATTAATTGTTTTCATATATCAAATTTTCGACAACTTTTTTGTTGATCTTTGCGAAATCAGGTAGTGGATACCTGTTTTTATTTTGAAATTACAAAAAAGCAGAAAAATAATTCGAAACTTTTCTTACTAACTTGACTTTTGATTGTCGAAATGTCTTTAGAAAGTTCTTAGGCTCCGTCACCAAAAATGGATATCTCAAGATAGTTCAAGGGGGGAAATCCCAGCCCCACTCCTAAAACCGCCACTAGCTATATTACAAAATTACAGTTATTTTTAGTTCGGTAACCAATTGAAAAGCACTTAAAACAAAACAAAATTAAAACGAAATGAAGCGATGACACAATTGTTGAATAAGAATGGATTATAAGCCATTATAATGGATAATAGTTCAATAAAATTTAAGAAAAATTTTCTCAAAAAGTAATCGATTCTAAACGATTATAAGGATTTTTATTGTTTCGAAAAATGGTAACTTTATAATCCATTTTTAATCGATTATACCAACTCTTTTTGAAGTTTATGGAGACTGACAATAAGAATCCAATATAATCTAATATTTTCTTTGTTTACTGAGTGCGGGAATATATTGCGAGCTTGCCAAAGAGGTTTACAAAAATTAGAGCCGTTTATCACCGAGAAGCATCGACGCGCGCAAAGCGCGTTCGTTAGCGTCCTTGAACCGTCGCTTACAAGTATTTTTTCACGTTTTTTGGGACCATTTTTTGTTTCTCTTATTTTTTGATCGGTTGGAATAGGAATCTTATTTTTCCAAACTAAAAAAATCCAACTGATCTTTTTTTTGTGTTTTTTGTAGCCTTAAGATTTTTAAAAAGGATTTAAAATATTGTATAATGTGAAATTTTGGACGTCAAAATTAGCAAAAAAAAAAATAATTTTGAAACTGTTAGAGGCGCCTGAAAATTTTCTCTCCATGAGATGTCATGTTGCTGTAATTATTGCGATAAATTTCATAATTTTTCTGATATAAATTTCATCGTCAATTGACTTATTATTACAAAAAAAAACAAAAAAATTACAAAATCAAGAGGGATTTGAAAATGTTACATTGTCAAAATTTTTCTTGAACTTAGCAGCCCTATGTTTTTCAACATGAACAAAAAAAAGTTTCGAATCAAGCCGGCTTGTATATGCTGTCAAAACTTTATGAAACTACTTGAAATTCAATTATTTGGACAAGGGGCGAATTTAGGATTTTTGAGGGTTTTTTCACATACACTTGTCTTTTGCCAAAAAAATGCTTTTTGCTTTTAGGTTAATTAAAATAATTTTCTGAGCTCTCATAAGAACAATGATCCCCTTTTTTCCAAAAAAGTTAACCTAATTGGCTTGGAAGAGACACCGCAATGAGGTAACAAAAGTTGTAATATGAGTTTTTATTATTTCAGCAAAGATCGGCTACATAATTAAACGAAAGGATTAATTGTAGAAGTTTATGTCACAAAGGAAAAATGAATGGTTGATTGATGTTCAACTAACAACAGCTCATTAGATTGATCGGATAAAATAGGTTTTTAGCTCTCAGAACTTCTTGATGATTGGCTTCGATCTGTCATGTGTTACTGAAGGTCTTCTCAACTTCACTTTAGCAAATGGATTGTCCAGATCCGAATCATACTCGCCCCCTCCTCCCATTCCACCTGCAGTCTGATTGACTGACAACAGGTGAGCAGCAGGGGGTGGTGCTGGTACAGACAATGGAGGTGGGGGTGGCGGCGGTGGTGGAGGAGGGGGTATACAAGCTCCTGCAGGTGCTCCTGCAGGCGGAACAGGGGCTTGGGTGTTCTTAAACAGAGAATAGTTAAGTTCCTGTTATTTGATAAAAATAACAAGATTTACTAATCAAAATTACAGTTTGAACTTTAATAGTTTTCGTTATTTTTTTACAACACTTGCTTTGATTTGTTTCTTAAATTTGTTCAGAAAAAATATTTTATTCTTGTTTTTCCATCTTTCGAAGAAAACAGAATTTTATCCTTGGTGTGGTTTTTTATTCAGTCAATTTTTGGCGATCGAAATTTTAGTAGTTTTTAACCCAAAAATTTTATGCCACATCGAAGATACTGACTTTCTGAAATCAAATGCATAAAGATATTTTACCTCCATTTTTGCAAAGTTCTGGTAAGTTGAAAAATGCCAATTTAGTTATGTTCTGGAGTAAATTATTCGCGCTTTGAAGAGTTTATTCATAATGCTGAGAGCGTAACGCAAATTATTTATGCGTGGCGAGTTATCCCGCACAACAAAATCGTTCCAAAATCCATTGATGCTAGCTGATTGGTCGTGTTAATTTCGTATGACTCAATTACTTTTCACACCTGATCATTGATTTTGTCCAAAAATATAAATGTTAATTATTTTTCCCCAAAAAACTATTTGATATGAAACAAAACTGCTCGTATCATGGCGAAGCCCTGAATGTTCCGACTGCCTTTTAAGGTTTATGGAGCAGCAGTAAAAACATTTAAAAAATTTAATGAAATAAAATAAAACGAAAAATTTTTTGAAATGTTTTTTTTTTTGAAAATCATCCCCTCACACACCATATAAAACATAAAAAGATAGATTTCGTTCCTTGTAACAAATCAATTATGGCAAATAAGCTTCGTTCAACCAATTGGGAACGATTTATAAGACGGATTAAATCTCCGCTTACGTGTTAATAGCGCGAATTATATCGTGCGTTAATTGTCCCAAATTGGTCAAAATGGCATAAATGGAATCTTTAAACCTTTATAACTTTACAAAAAATGATCACATTTGAAATATCTTTTCAAATTTAAGCTCAGGACAACAATACTTTTTGAATGATATAAAAAAAATTCCGTCAAAAAAGGCTAGTTAAAAAGTCGAAATTTGTCTGAAGAAAAAAAACCCACCCCGAGCACAAATATTCCGTTACTTTCGTATCAAAAGTCGGAACAATAAGGAGCACTCGAAACATTCAGATTTTGCCCTGATATACGAGCATGTTTGTACTAAATTACAAATAAATTACATTTATGAAACACTGATTCATTGGTTGGTGATAAATATGCAAACAAGACGGCTCGTATCACGAATATTCCGACTGCCTTTTAAGGTCTATGGAGCAGTAATAACATGGAAAATTTAAATGTAATAAAGTAAAATTAAACTTTTTTTTCTAAAAAATTTGGGATTTGTTTGTGAAAACATCCCACCACACGCCATATTAAGTACAAAGTGATAGATTTTGCTCCCATTAACAAATCAGTTATGGCATATAAATTTCTTGAACTAATTTGGAACGATTTCTATGACAGATTAAATCTCGCTTAAGCGTTAATAGCGCGGAATATATTGCGCGTAACTTTCCCAAATTGGCCAAAATGGCAACCTTTATACCCCCGTAACTTTACGAAAAATGAGCACAGGTGAAATATCATTTCAAGTTTGAGCTCAAGACAACAACACCTTTCGAATGATATTAAAACTTCCGTCAAAAATGGCTAGTTAAAAAGTTGAAATTTGTCTGAAGAAAAAAACCCACCCCGAGCACAAATATTTCGTCACTTTCGTATCGAAAGTCAGAACAAAAAAAATACTAATTCCAAAAACACTTTTATGCGCATTGGTTATTTCCGAAAACTGTGTAGGTGAACCTATTTGTTCGCTCATGCAAGTAATATTTGCTGTTTGTAGGTTAAGCTAACTTTTAGTCATCAAAAATGGAGATATTCGGCCTTTTAGACGCTGGTGAACATTAAATGATGATCTGTAATCGAGCAAAAAACGAACATGAGCAAAGGATGTAATTGGTATCGAGGGTGATTGGGTGATCAATTCTGAGCATGTACAGATGCCTTGATACCAAAGATAGTCCGCTGATTAAAAAAATTGTGACGATCTTACAGAACGGCAGTTTCGTCGTATTCCAGGAACAGTTGTCATTATCTTTCATTTCCAGAAAAAAAGACCACTCTGCTATCCCGTAAAATTGTCACAATGTTTGATCACCTGATCACCCTTAAGTATCAATGAAATTGTATCTTTTTAATCGTTCACCTGATCACCCTTGGAAACAAGTACATCCAATTTTAAAAAAGGTTTCTTTTGGAGTCATTAAATACTAAAATTGAGGGCATTTTTTTGATGAAGTTTTTCCAGGAAAACGCCAAAATAGTGGATGTTATCCACAAAATCACAGCAGTAAATTACCGAATCTACTGATTAGTGTAGCTATTTTAACCGAAGTCATTTTTTTAAAAACATAAATCTTTATGGGCTTTAAAGTCTGTATTTTCTATATTTACTCTCAAACCCAAGAGTAATTGAATAATTCCTAGTTCGTTTTACTCAGAACATGAACCGCTCACCATATGACTGATGTGTTGCATGTTGTCCGGCGGTGGCCCATTGTAGTCGGGTGCCGGAAATCTACCTCCACCCACAGACCCTGCAGATCCAGTGTCTGCCCTCCTATTGGCTGCTGCTGCTGCTGCCGCTGCTGAGCCGTGACTTCCACTGCCCCCGTACTCACTCAGTCGCTCGTACTCGTGCTCGTGTTCTGCCGACTCAGACCCAGCGAAAGCCTGAGTGAACGAAAGCGGAAACCAGCCTTGTCTGAAACAAACGAGACAGACTTTTAGTGGCCGGTGGTCGGTGAATCAAGCTAAGATAATCTTTCAAAATTAGTTTTTGGGTGTTTTTCTACTAATTCGTTGCAAATTACGTTTAATAACGACAAATATTTAACCTTTTTAAATAAAATATTTGCTTTTAAATAATATATTTTTGAATGCCTGAAATATAATCGACTTTTAAAATGTTGTTCTAACTTGTTGGTTCTCCTGTTCAGCCCATACTGCCACCCCTTGTGTGGAGGGGCCTTGTGTAACACCTGCAGTATGTCCCCCTCTCTGAACTCCAGCTGGATGTTGTCTCCTCCAGTCCTCGGATGGAACGGGTGGGTGGCCTTGACTGCATTCAGTGACAGCTTCCCAGACACTGGCGCTTTTGGGCCATTGCTGGCACCTGGAACATAGCCTTCTGCACTCGATTGAAAATCAACAAAATGACCAATAAATGCCAATAATTTCAAGATATTTCGAAAAGCAAGTTTGAAGTCATCTGATAAACAGCCAATTTTTGGAGTAATCAATTTAGGGTTGAACAACTTAAGAAACAAAATGTTAAAGTCGTAACTGTATAAGATCAAAAAGGTTGTTGATAAGTTGTATTGTAGTCAAACAGACAAACTGTTAGGCATCAAATCGAAATCTTACTGCACTCTTTTATTTCAGATCCCATCGGACATTAGAGATCGCAAGGTCACGACAGCAGGTCCCCAGACAGAAAGAACAAGTTGATAGCACTTACATAAACTCAAACTGGTTCCTATCTCGAACAATTGATAGCACTTACATAAACTCAAAACTGGTCCCTATCTCATTCGGGAAACCACAAATAAATTTTAGAGCGTAGATACAAAATTTATCAACTCACTGTTACTTTTTCTATTGGATCATGTTACTGGTTAACTTTTAGTTTACATTGAGTTTTCAGGCACACCTGCCAAACCTCTTTTAAGGTTTTCTTTTTTTTTCTGTTGTCCTCACTTGTGCTCTATTCGGTAGATCATAACTCCCCCCATTTTGTCAACTCCGCGTCTCTGCCGTGTTGATTTTCTCGTCGCTGCATCGCACTCGCCTTTTTTTTCGTTTTCCACCGACAGTTTTTGGTGATCTCTCCCTAGCCGTTCCCGACGGTACATCGTCTCCTTCGCTCGCCGTAATCTTCACCGGTTCGTTTCGTTCAATTTCCCACTCGCTGTCTTCGTCGTCCTCGCTCTCGTCCGCACTGTACTCTACTATACGTTGTTTCGTCGATCTTCGCGCGTTCTCCATCTTGACCCGATCCTTCTCGGCTCTTGGCTTACCTTTTGTGGGTTCACTTGGGCCCGGGGTACTATGTACTCTTTTACTAGGTCCTGGGCTGCACGCATCGCTTCTTTTCTCAATTAGGTTTTCTTCGCCCGCCGATCTAAAAGAAACACCACTCCGCCTTAGTAACGACCCTTTTTCCATCTGAACCGTATGCTTAGTCAATTTTTCAATTTTTAATGGCAAACGTTTATACCTTCTTGGGTCCTTTGGATCCGTTTTTGCAGTCCTGTGGTAAACGGTCGTTGAGCTGGTCTTGTGCTTTTTGAGCCATGTTGGAGCTTTAGGAGCAGATCTTATTTCCTTGGGGTCAACTACTTCCTGAGCATTGGGATCCGCTACCACCTCGTCATCCAAAATGATTGGGGCTTTCCTATTTTGTGGAGCGCACACCAAATTGCTGCTCTTCTCCCAATCTAGGTTGAGCTCTACATCCGGGAGATTTCCCGCCTTGTCTAAACAAGATAACTTTTGGTTAACAACATTGTTCCAACTTAAATTTTTCAATGACGGTTTTTTCGTTAAATTTCGCAGAGCCGTATTTGCTTCTCGTCCATGATAGGCTTCAAAAGGCGTTAATTTAGTCTTAGAGTGTGGCACAAAACGTAACGCGCTGAGCGCACGGGATATCATTGCTCCAATTTGTAGTTCTTATCTTCCTGAAGATAAGTTAACACGTAGTTTTTTATCGACCCAATTGTTCGTTCGACCATTCCTGTCGCGCGATGATCCCTAACCGGAGATTTAATAAGTTCGATACCTTCGTAGTTACAGAAGATTTGAATTTCATTTGAGAAAAACCCAGTAGCCTGATCCATATGCAATTTCCTTGGGTGTCCATGAGTATTTATGTACTTCCTTAGGAACTTCGATACATTTTTGGACTTGTTACTTGAACAAACATACGCCGACGGCCAACGCGAGAAAGTATCTACTGCTACAAGTACATTCTTGTTGCGACCCCTTACGTAATTGACTGAGCCCCAGAAATCTAATTGGACTAAATCATTCGGTTCCTTAGACACATAAGTTTCCCCCATGTCACTTTTTGGAATGTCCGGTTTAAGGTTTTTACCTACTTCTAAGCAACTTTTGCAGTATTTTGCTGTAGCAGCGATGTTCCGAAGCATAAGAGGAATCCACACGTCTTTTACGGCTGCAAAAATTTTGTCACGCCCATGATGGTTATAGTGTAGACGATTGAGGATTGCTGATGACAGATCCTTCGGTATTGCTAACCGGCCGTCCATCCACAGGCAATTCTCACGTACTGCAAAATCGTTGTAGTGTTGAGCGTAGTTTTGTCGTAGTCTTGTTATTATCTCCTTTGCTCGTGGGTTTTTGTCTCTGATGTTATCCCTGATGGTCTTCATAATTGGATCTTTTTCAATGTTTGCTTCTATTAGTTTTAAACTCAGAACTTCCGGGTGTTCAATCTTTTTCACTATTTTACTGTCTGATGGCACTATAGAATAGATCCATTTGTCGTTCTGTACAAGTGGGTAGGATAAACCGGGGAACTGGTGTGGGAAAGAGATGATCGTGTTTAATTTTTTAGAATTATTCTGTTTTATATCAAGTTTTTCGGGTGGTACCATTTCAATATCTGAATCCGAACTAACACTGGGAGGTTGGTTTAACCGCTTCAGTACAACGTTGAGGTTCGCATTTCCAGAGTTAGTCGATGTGTTGACGATGGCCGAAGTTGGTGGATCATTTTTTTCAGGCGAATTACTCATGTTTTTATCGTTTAAGTTACTCAAATTATTCAGAATCAAGGGCTTGCTACTGTAATTTTTTAAAATAAAAAGCTTATCACTGTAATTATTTAAGATGGAAGGCTTGCAACTGTAATTTTTCAAAATAGGAGGCTTGCTATTGTAATTATTCAAAATTGAAGGCTTGCAACTGTAATTTAAGTAATGAGAACAACGTCTGAATTTCTTTCTTCGGTATTTGCATATTTCCGCCGGTATGCAAATATCTCGACGCTGATTGGTTAACCGCCTGTTGCATGTAAACACGCCCTCTATTGAGCGTTTGTGCTCACGGTGAATATTTGCTTATTCGTCTTTTCTTTCATTCTCATTGAATGAAAATGATTTCGTTGTGTCGAAACATGACTGCTCGCCCCCTACCGTCGGTTTTGGCCTAATTTTATTCACTTTCTGACCCCTAGGCTTCATTTTATCCTTGGGCTTCAATGCCGCTTTTATCATTCTTATCTTCGGTACTGTAAAATTTTCATCGTAATGACTTGTCTCGGGTGCCTCTGCGGACGGAAACCGAGACAAATAGTCTGCCATCCCCATTTTCGACCCTTGTCTATGTTCAACTTTAAAATCATATGGCACCAGTCGATCATACCATCGAGTTAATCGGCTGAAGAACGTTTTATTTACCTTCGGTGACGAATTCAACACTGTAAGTAGAGCTTTATGATCCAATATGACTGAAATACCGGCCATATCTATAGTTTCGAAAATATTCCGTGGCCAACACTACCGCGAGTAATTCTAATTCATTCGTAGAGTACTTTTTCTCAGCCGGATTAAGGTAACGGGATGCAAACGAAATCGAATGCCACCCGGATGCGCAATACTGTTCTAACACGGCCCCTAGGCCATCGTGACTAGCGTCACAAATAATTCTAGTTTCACGATGAATGTCGAAATGCCGTAATTCGACAATATTTTCCACGAGCGATTTTAATTGTTGGACCGCATTTTCGCAAACGGGCGTCCAGATAAAATCGTTATTTTGACTCAGTAATGGTCTTAAAGGTGCGCTTATTTCCGCGAGTTTGGGTAAAAATTTGTGTAAACTGTGCAGTGAACCCATTAAAGATTTTAGCTGCTTTCAAGATTTTGGGGTTTTCAGGTCCTCTATTGCTTGTGTTTTTGTTACTAGGGGCGTGATGCCATTTTCCCCAATCCGATATCCGAGCCATTCGCACTATGTTTTTGCAAATTCACATTTTCGTAATTTTAACGCGACATTTGAGACGTCCAGCTTTTTTAATATCTTTTCCACCAACGCAATGTGTTTGATCTTAGTTCCTTTTGAAGCAATCAAAATATCATCTATGAACGCGTTAGCTTGCGTGAATTCTTTAAGTAAATTATCAATTATTTTTTGGAATTCCGCCGGCATTGACGTAAGCCCGTAAAATCCGTTTTTAAAACGATAGGTTCCCGTGGATTTCCCGCCGACTAGTTAGAAATTGCATTGCTCGCTTGTTTTTTGTTCTAATGCGACTTGTCCGTACGCATATGTGAAATCCAACGTTGTAAAATATACATTCCCGGCTTTCTTTTCCGCGATAATCTGACTTAATCCGTCGACTAGATCGTCAATATTTGGCATTTGGTACTTATTCTTGTGTACCTGCTTGTTCAATTCTCTTGATTCCAGCGCTAATTTTATACTTCTGTCTTTTTTACTGTAATCACGATAGGGGAGACGAAATATTTATCTGAGCACTCTTGTAATTTTACGATATGCCCTTCATTTATCAGCCGATGAATTTCTTTATCCGCCTTGTCTTGTAGACTGATAGGCACCCTGCGCCCTTTTTGTTGATTCGAAAAATTGAGCTCTTACTTTTGCGTTCCGGATCTTTCCTATTCTAGTAAACAAATTTGGGTACAACTTACAGAAGTATGTTTGCAATTCGTCACATTCCTCCTCCTCATGACTGCTCCCTTCCCCTGTGATTCCCATCATTTTCTTCCGTTGAACTAACTCGAGGCCCAGGATGCCCATCAAATTGCGCCCAAGGGTTGACTGATGATTTCCGGATATTACTGACACTTGTGCTGGTGCTGCCCAACCGTTTAACGACATCATCACTGCTACTTTTCCCGGTATGTTTATTCGGTTGTTATTGTAATCCATGAATTCATCTTTTAAAGGCTCTAGTTGAATATTCGCCTTACCTAACGCTGTTTTTAGGTCCGTTATGCTGAAAATCGTCACTGGGGATCCACTATCTATCCACAGCCACATCTTCTTTCCTGACACCTCAACCTGGACTCGGGCCCCAGGGATCTTTAGTTCAGTCTCATTCTTCTTCCTTTTTATTGACATTACCATGTAATTGTCCGATCCTGACGTCATGGATTCATTTTCCCCGCTTCCCCGCTGGTTCACCCACGACACTGGATCTTCATTCAAGTCATTCACATTCTGCGTACTCTGATGATGCTCATTTTCATCTCTAACTAAGCCGACTCGTCCTTGTCTTCTCCATTGGTTAGTACCCCTCCTTCCTCCTCGACATGTTCGTTCAAAATGTCCCAGTTTTTGGCACGAGTTGCATGTTGCTCCATTTGCAGGACAGCTTGCAATGTGTTCAAGGGTAAAATTTGGTGCGTCGCAATTATAACACCTACGGTTATTGCCGCTTCCCCCACTACTTGGTCCTTGGGTGTATCCTCCACGCCCCCGCGTCCTCGACCTCGGAAAAATCCTTGTCCCCTTCTTATGTTATTTACCGGTTCCTGTTTTATTGAAATTGCCGGAGCTGTTGAAGCTGGTTTTCCCGTATATGATTTGTATGCGCGCTCACCACGTTCATATGATAAGGCGATCCGGTAGACTTCCTCAGGTAACTTTGTTGATCGTGATAATTCTCGTTGGCAATCCGATTCCCGCATATTCATAATGAAAATATCACGAACATTTTCGGCCGCATTTGCAAAATCACATCTACCTGCTAGGGCGCTTAATTCCGCGTGGAATTTTTCGAACGTTTCATTCTCACGTTGTTTTCGTCCGTAGAAAAGTCCCCGTTCATTAGTTACATTCCGCTCACGTTGAAAAACACTTTCAATCTCATCAAGGACCCGTGGGTACCGTACCGTTTTAATATTAACCGCCGGTTTTCGTGCTTTGAATATCCGTTGCGCCTCGTCTCCGATACAAAGATATAGATTAGACTTTAACTTCTTTTCCGAATCGAGACGGTTTTTCCCATTGACCTCCTCAGGCAACGTCGTGATAGCCGCCGCATTTAGAGTACTCGCAAAATAGAAATCATCGGGATCAATGTCGTATTTTGCTATCATCCCCCAGTGAAATTTAATTATCCACTCCTCCCAGTAAACTGGAGGTTCCGGTGTTCGTGTATCCCAAAATGCTATTATATTTAGTGGATTTTTCCCCCTCCTTTTTTCTCTGCTGGCTGCGCCATGTTAAAGTCGTAACTGTATAAGATCAAAAAGGTTGTTGATAAGTTGTATTGTAGACAAACAGACAAACTGTTAGGCATCAAATCGAAATCTTACTGCACTCTTTTATTTCAGATCCCATCGGACATTAGAGATCGCAAGGTCACGACAGCAGGTCCCCAGACAGAAAGAACAAATTGATAGCACTTACATAAACTCAAGCTGGTTCCTATCTCGAACAATTGATAGCACTTACATAAACTCAAAACTGGTCCCTATCTCAAAAAATTGACTTGCTTAACTCTTAATTGATCGCATCAGTTTTTTTAATTTATTCAATTTTCCGCAGTTATTAGGTTCATTTTTTTTTTGGTTAAAAAGTGCGACTATGAAAACTTTTCATATCATTTGAAGACGACGTTCTTACCATCCAGCTCTTTCGACCTGCTCCTCTTCCCTTTCCCCTTTCCTCTTCTGTGGCCCCTCGTGTCTTTTCCGCCACTCGCTTCCAGCGGCTCTTCTGATTTGGAAGTACTGTCATTCCCATTATACCCCCCGGAACTGCCCCCCAACCCCACAGTCACAGGTGGACCACGAGTACCTCTGCTCATCCTGGCTTGGTTGCCTCTTTGCAACTGGTTTTGAGAAGTCTTGCTAGTCTTGTTCCTGGTTTTGTCTCGTCGTTTGCTGGCTCTGAGAGTAATTATTTGTTTACTTCCTCCAGGAGCATTATCGGCTAGAAAATTACATTTCTTTTATTTCTACTATTTGATTGTTTTCACATCGTCTGATGTAAACATTTAGGGGTAACCGAAAACGTATAAAAACAGTATTTCGCCACCTTTCCTTTTACATCAGCCTGCCGTGCAATTTTTTTGACGAAGATCAATTTAGTAATTTGGAAGAGCTTGTAAAATCAAATTTGTTAACATTAAAAAAACACCGGCATCATCTTTGCCTGTTTTTTTTCAATCTCCCCTTCAAAAATCAAAACCCGAGTATGAAACCAGGTATATTGATTATTTTTCAACAAAAAGACAAATACCCATCTTTTTTTATTTGTGTGTTTATGATTGCCAAATTTTAGTTGATTTTTACAGACTGCGATGCAAAACTGGGATGTACAAACTGGGATGTATGCTTGTACGCACGGCATTGCATGTTTGGCGACAGTGGCTTCCTCTGATGCATCTGAGCCCTTCTCCTCAGACTGCTCTTGGGCTTCCTGATCAACACCTTCATCCGCGGCAGACTGTTCAAGTGAGCACCAGCTGCAACGAGAAAGAAACTAGAAGTTGCATGTATTCTTAGCATATTGCTTCACAGATTTGCGAAGTTACAGACTTGTTCAAAGTCAGTTTAAAAAATTAACGTAGCGTCTTTAAATTTGACGCTGCCAAAGACTGATAGTTTTGTGCTAAAAATAAGTAAAGGACGGATGACTAGTCTGCATTAGGATGTTTTTAGCAGTCATTTTAGCTACAAGCAGTGATAGACGCACGTGAGCCGGTTATCTTGACCTAGTTGAATAATTACTGAAGCTCAATTTAGAACTACCTTTAAAACAAATATTAGTAAAGTATTCTATATTCCTCCGTAAGTAGAAAAATGAGCCAAGAAATGTTGTTTTTTTAGTGTTTTATCTGCACCACTTACCCTCTGCTTGTTCTCTGATGATGATTCTTCTGTCATCATGTCCCAACGATTCCCCAACAGGTATCCTATTCTTCTTCTGCTGTCCCGTGTTTACCCGGTTGGGACTGGCACTGCTACTCTGGTCTGAGCTGGAGCTGCAACAACTGGAGCTCCTGGAGCTGATGTTGGTCACCTCCCGAGACACTACTCGACTATGAGGCACGCCACGACGGAAGTCAAACTCCTGCAAAAAAAAACCTTTTTCTTTGTTTTTTTTTTTCAATAGCACCATAGTTTGAACCTAGATCTCGAACAAACTTTTTTTTCATCCAAATTATCTACAAAATCATCCAAAACAAAATATTCATCTTAGAGAAAATATAGTTTTGGAGCAAGTATTTGGTTGATTGGTAGTCTATACTAACATCTTCTGGAGACATGAGTTTGGACTTAAGCTCCTCTGCAATTTGAGACCAATGGGACGACTTTTCTTTCAGTGCGACCAATTGCTAAAAACAAATACGCTAGTCTTTTTCTGAGCGAGTACGGCACAAAGTTCTGATCACAAATGTTGAGACAAAAAGCAAAAAAAATTAAGACATTCGCTAAAAAAAATTTTATTTTGGCTTTTTGTTTAATATTTTTCTGAGGAGTATCAATTAAAGAAGCCGAATAGAGGATAAAAAACTAAGACTTAAAAATGGGAGAAAAACAGGAACTAGTTGTTTTCAGTAGTAAAGAAAGTCTATTTGCTAATCCTTATGCTTCGAATATGGTGTTTTATGAGTGATCGCAGTAAAAAGAAAAACTTCAAAGTCGTTTTCTCGACAATGGAGAAAATTTTGGAAAATTATCATCGTTTGAATCACGACTGAAACGGCTTCAAAATGCAATATCAGTAGACCCCAACTGTCGCTTATTTGTGTGAACAACGTTTGAAAAAAAACTTTGAGTTAACTGCGTGGAAAAGTGCATTAAAAATATTCAAAGCGCCCTTGGAAAAATTTTAGAGTTGGTTAATCCAAAATGGGTGTCGTAAATTTTTATAAAAGGGGGACCCTTAATTTCGTTAGTGGTCAAACCCTTGAAGCGGTGGAGGGCGTTCTTGGTTAAAACCTTCACAGACTTTGGTATTTGTACGATGGCAACTTTTCCTTCTTCTAATAGCAACAACTAGTCTAGGGTGGAATCATTTTTTGAACCACTTTTGACAATCACTGACCGTTTCGAGGAACTGCACATAAGCCTGTGTGAGTTGCGCGTTTATCTCGACGAATGTGGCAAGGAGTCTCCTCTCTTCGACTGCTGCCATGCGATAGGCGAAGTCCTTGTACTCCCTCAGGTCTCGCTCACTCTCTTTGAAGCTGTCCAGGCACTAACACACATTCAGTTCTACATTGAAACTACATGATAATTAGTGAAACAAAATTTGTGTGATATTCTAAGGTCAGTTTCAAGCCAATTTTTCAGTCAATTTTATCATTGAAGTCATTCTCAAATATAGGCTTTTTTGAAAGTAAAATGAATGAATGATGATTTCAGTTTGCGCCAAAAGTGGTTTAAATTGATGAACATGCAATGAAAGCAATCTAGAAGATAGCGCAATTGTCGCTCAATGATATCCTCATTAGGTCAGGGCAAAAATTTGTAACAAGCGACAATTTGTAACATGCTGCAATTCTTAACAAGCGGCAATTTGTAACAAGGCATTGGCAAGTAGAATACGCTTGCTCCGCTTCGCTCTGCTGCTCTTACATTCAGCGCGAGGAAATATGCGCGTGAATCAGAGATCCCTGTTCAATCTACTGGTACGAATTGTCGCTTATTACGAATTGTTGCCTGTTACGATGTGTCGCATGTTACGCATTTTCGCTTCAAGCCTCATTAGAGATTAAAATAAGATACAACCACTGGCCCACTTCACGATACTCCTTGTATCCAGCTCCAAGCATTTATAATCGATTATTGTTCCGACTTTCGATACGAAAGTAACGAAATATTTGTGCTCGGGGTGGGTTTTTTTTCTTCAGACAAATTTCGACTTTTTAACTAGCCATTTTTAACGGAATTTTTTATATCATTCAAAAGTTATTGTTGTCCTGAGTTTAAATTTGAAAAGATATTTCACCTGTGATCATTTTTTGTAAAGTTATGAGGGTTTAAAGATTGCCACTTCGGCCATTTTGTCCAATTTGGGACAATTAGCGCGCAATATATTTCGCGCTATTAAAGCGTAAGCGGAGAGTTAATCCGTCTTAGAAATTGTTCCAAATTGGTTGAAAGAAGATTATTTGTCATAATTGGTTTGTTACAAGAAGCAAATTTTATTCATTTGTACTGTATATGGCGTGTGGGGTGATGATTTTCATAAAAAATTTCAAATTTAAAAAAATTTCATTTTTTTATTTCATTTAATTTTCTTAAGTTTTTTTACTGCTCCATAAAATCTTAAAAGGCAGTCGGAACATTCAGAGCTTCGTTCTGATACGAGCATTCTTGTGTCATGATTTTAGTACCAAACTTACTGAAATTGTGAAAAAATCTATTATAATCTATTTTTGGATCAAAATAAAACCAATTTTTTAAATCTGATTTTCTAATTTATTCACTATGCACAAAAAAACAACATTTTAATCGATAATGAAAATTATTGTTTTTGTTCGCTTTTTTGTCCTTGACCTTTCATTTAGGTTAGAAATGAGAAAAAAGTGTTTCAGCAGTTTTCTTATCTTTTCAATTTCATGTTTTTTTTTTCGACAGGAGTTGTTTTGTGATGCGCATTTATAGTTTTGTAATCACCAAAATATCAGCACATTGTTTCAATTTCGTGAACTATCTGGAAGAGTTAGTTTTCACGTATCGTGGGATTTTTTCAACTAATATGAAAGGATCTCTATGAATTGTTTGCATGTGGTAAAATTTTGTGTTCAGCAAACCAAAGTGTGACAAGACCTCTCTCTTTAGAGGTGTGTTATTGACAGAAATATATTGATCCATAGGATATAAAATTATATATGCACTTAGTTAGTGTAACGATTTTTTGGCAAAACAAGATACTGTAAAACATAATTTATTACATTCGATTATAATCAGTTTATTGAGATTTTCTGTATGAAAAAATCAGCAAAATAAGCCGTTATAATCTTTAATGAGGTTGAGGATGGCATTAAGTGACAACTGCGTATTTTTCTAGATTGCCATCATTGCATGTTCATCAATTTTATGTATCAATTGTTTTGTTACCTCTGATATCTTCAGTTCTATCTTGGCAGCAGTGGGCTGCTTGGCTTTCTGTGCCTTCATATTGTACTTGTGCAGATCCTTTACAGACTTGTGCAGCTTCTGAAAAAAACGACACTTCAAATTACGGAGTAGTTCTGCCCACTTAAAGACGATTTTCCGTGATGATTGCGGAAATAATCTCCAAAAGTTCGAAACACTCGGAAATTGTAGTAATTAGTTTAGTTTTCCTTTTTATTGACAAAACGAAAATTTTTAATTTTTGTTCTGGAATGATGCGATGGTGCGTACGGAATTTTTATACAGCTGTATGAATAAACTCAATCAAATAAATTTCAATCTTTCTTAAAATTATATTCTTCAAAAGTATTATCAAATATAACCATTTTAGTGCAAATGGCAGATGTTAAACTAGTGGAAATACATGCCTCGCTCTTCTCTTTGACCATGTTGTGGTGTTGTTTGAGGGCGGTGGGGGCTGCCTTGCCCACCAGCTGCACCCTCCTCCCCACCACTTCCCCCAACTCCCCCTTCACACTCGGCATCTACAAACCAACGCAAAAAGAAACATGAAAAAACTGTCCAGACAAAATATTTTGTCCTTTTCTGATCGAATTCAGACTAAAAGTAGAGGTGGAAACCATTAACTTATTTTAAAAACTTTCAAAATTTTTCGCATTGATTGAGGAGACCTCCCTTCTTCCCTTCTTCCCTTCTTACAAACTTGCCTTCTTAATTAAATTGTGGGTTTTAGATATCTTTTGACCATGTTCGAGTCAATTTGGGCTTACTGTTACATAACTTTCTATTACATAACTGACCTCAGCGCAGACTGTCTCTATGAGATGCAAGTATGTGTCCGAAATGTCAATGAGGGTATCTGCCAAGTCAGAGGACACTGCACTGCCCATAGCACAGTCCCCCGCTCGCCCCAACACCTCGAAGAACGTCTTGGAACTGTGGTGCAGCTCTAAAACATACTAACTTATGAAGTTCAAGTGAAAATGATTTCCAGATTTTTCTCCGTTTTTGAGTTCGCGTGTTGGTCAGCATTAACAAACTTAGTTTTTAGTAGTTTTTATTGCATCTCGTATTCCAATGCATTCCGGAGCAGATTGGCATGACCGTGTTTACGGGAGAAATAGAGGAGTTTTCTCGAATTCTTACGTATGAAAGCCATGTCCAGCTGTTTTCCTGCGTCCAGAAATCTGCCAGTTGTCGGAAACAGCTGTTGGATCATCGACTAAGCACAAAAAAGCTCGAAAAAGTATATACGATGCAATTTTAAACAAAAATATTCGCATTTCATTCTAGTGAACTCATCTCCAAAAATTGTTAATTTGGTTTTAAGAGGTAAATTTTCCTTACTGATCGCAAAATTACTTCTGCTCTCAAACCTTAATAATTATGTGTAGGCACATCATTTGTATATTAATTTTGACGGAGACTGAACGCCGAAAAACGGCAATTTTGTGCAACTTTTTTTTTCAAAAATTTGTCTCCGGCGCAGAAAATTTTGTCAAATAAAGTCTTTATTGTGTTCTGGAAGATATCAGAAGATCAATTTGGTTCAACTAAAAAAAAACAATGAAAATCAATTTGGTTCAACTCAATAAAAACAACTCAATAAGAGCTCTCACCTTGTAGATGTCGTCTGTAATTTTGGCCTTGTCCAGACTCCTCAAATGGCCTACTTGACCGCCTGAACTCCTCCTTCTCTGTCTGTTAATCCTGCCCGACTGCCCCATATCTTCAGCCCCTCCCCCACTCGATCCATTCACCAGAGGAACTGATACGTAAGGACTTTCCACCCGACGACGATTCATACTGATCAATGGTTCCCGTCCGAGTATTTGAATACGATTTAAGCAACTTTTTAGTTACGTTGCAGTTTTCATTACTTTTTGAGTCTTCTTGTTTGAGTTTTCACAAGTTATTTAAATGATGGTGTGAATTTGATGTGGAAGAAAATAACTGTTGCTGACAGTACTGTTTTCTCTTAGATGATGTGATAAGGTAATAGCTTTTTTGAAGTCTCAGTATGATGTTGACATATTAAACATGTTTAAGTAAATTTACGAATAAGTAAAATTGTTGTCAGGTAATTTGCGAATTTGGAATATAAAACAACATTCATATTCAAATTATAGGCAGTTTGCAACTCGACAAAAAATGTGATATTTTTTCTCAGACCTCCTATGATAACATGTATAGTGGGTTATTTCCTTTTTGAGATGAAACGGGAAAATGAGTTACATGTTTTACACGCTTTTTGCTTCCCGTTTCAGAAGAGAAAATTTTTTTTCCATTTTACCCTGCTGCTGAAGTGTATAAAACTTGTCCTTTTTAGTGCAGATGAAGGTGCTTCTAAGCTATATTTTTAAAATCCCTTTTTTGAATTCTGGTTTCCAAAAATCCCCCCTTTTGCACTATTTTACGACAACCATTTTGGATTAACCAGTGCTAAATTTTTTCTACAAGCACCTTTACGCTAAATTGGAGAGGGGTTTTGAAACACATCGTAAAAAAAACATTTTGTGCATGCCACTGCCGTAGCTCAGAGGAAAAAATTCTCGTGTCCTCAACTTAAGTTGGATCTAGCATATACTTAACAAACTCAATTACCAGCTCAGGAACTTATTTTGAACTAGTTATTCATAAAAAAAACCTTGTTTGTAATCAACTTGAGACGTGTGTCTGAAGACTGATTTTGAGCTACTGTGTAGACCGACCGCAAAAGTAAAATAATCAACTTTGAGTTTTAGGCAGGTCTGAGTCCAGGGTTTTCTCATGGGGGCGAGTGAAATTTGTCAACGCTGTTTAGGTCAATCAAACTAATTTTCCGACCTCTCCCAAAACAGTTAAACAGTTGAAAAAATTTTTTGTAGAAAAACTTTTCTATTTCGCTTGAAAAATATAATAATAAGGACTGTTAAACTTTTCTTATGATGCAGCTCTGAATCAATAAAACAATATACAAAAGTTTTGCTAACTACTATGCATTCAATTGAAAAAAAAAAAAAACAGGATGACACGGGAGCCGGCCCGTCTGCACATCAACTCGTGTCCTCAAGTTAAAATGAATCTAGCTTTTACTTAACAAAATCATTTACCAGCACCGAAGTTTATTTTGAACTAGTTATTAATAAAAACCTCGATTGAAATTAACTTTGAGTCTCTGAATACTGATTTTGAGCTATTTTGCTGACAGACCCCAAAAAGAAAATAATCAACTGTGAAATTTAGACGGGTCCGAATCTAGGGTTTTCTCTTGGGGGCGGGCGAACCTTGTTAACTTTTATAGGTCTATCAAACTAATTTTCCCACCTCTCCTAAAACAGCTAAGCAGTTAAAAATCTTACTTTGTGAAAATTTTTGCGTTGTTTATCTTGTCAAACGTATTTGGACTTCTGAAAAAATGCATCCGCCCAAACATTTGCACTTGATTCAAATTTGTCATCAGAAAAATTAAATCGCTTGAAAAATATAATAAAAACAAAAATCGTTAAAAAAATTATGTTGCAGAGCTGTATAAAGGCTGAAACAATGAACAGTAGTTTTGATAACTATTATAGTAATTTTGCAGTCAATAGAAAAAATAAAACGGGAAAATTACGGAGCCGGCCCGCTTCTACATTCACTCTGATGCAACTCTCTAAGTATCTTTTGGTTCCGCTTTTCACAAAACGTGCAGGGTGTTTAGTGGGGCATAAGCGAGGGTTAATGCGTTTTAAAATGAATTGAGGCAAACTTTTCCGTTTGTTATTACAATTCATGCTTATGAAGATCATTAAGATGGGAATCCAATTATACTCTTTGTAGTGCACATTAGCTTAAAAGGTGTAAATTGCAGAAAAAAGTGAAAAAAATATATATATATATATTGTTTTTTGTTTTTATTATACTTTTTAAACATTTCATTAAAAACGTATATCACA